ATAATTTATTTATTTATTTTTTTTAAAGAGCATGTATTATCAAAACGAAATTAATTTTTCAGAAAGCGCAATATTTAAAATAGATATAAAAAAAGAAAAACACATTACAAAATATGTGATGTTTTAAATGTTAAGCAAAAAATAAAATGTTCAATATTTTTTAAATAATAAAAGTAATTTTATTACATACAATACATTAACTAAAAATATATAGGTTTACATTATCATTTTTTAATATCAAACATAAAATATAAATAAAAAGTTTAAAGTGATGAAATAAAAAGTCTCTAAAGTGATGAAATATAAAGTTTAAAGTGATGAAATAAAAAGTTTAAAGTGATAAAATAAAAAGTTTAAAGTGATGAAATAAAAAGTTTAAAGTGATAAAATAAAAAGTTTAAAGTGATAAAATAAAAGGTTTAAAGTAATGAAATTAATGAAATATGATTGTTTTTTAAAGAGAAACATTCAATATATTATAATAATCATAATTATAATATTTCAAACATATTTCATAGTTGTCAGGATGGCCGAGTGGTCTAAGGCGCGGCGTTTAGGTCGCTGTCCGCAAGGGCGTGGGTTCGAACCCCACTCCTGACAAAATTATTTATATGAGTTATATAATTTTATTTAAATATCATAAAATGCTTTTTATCATAATACTTTATTTATATAAAAATATCATGCTCGAAATTAAATGTATATTATAATAATAATCAAGTTATGTTCTTATTTTTTTTAAATTACCTAAAATAATTTTTTTATTTTTAAAGCATATTATCTACATATGAAATTATATTAGCATTACAAAAAACTGTATAATAATATCAAAATTTTTATATTTTGCGTTTATATCCATTTTTTTATTTTTATTTTGTAAGCTTCTGTGAAATCGTTAAATATGTTTTTTTTTTTTTTTTTTTTCTTTCATTCTCTCTATAATTAACAATGGAACGAGTGTTTTTTTTTTTTATACTTTTCAAAATAAAAACAATATGGTGATAAAACTGTATTAAAATTTTGATAACTATCTTTAACAATTATATTATTCTTAAAATTAATTATAATTACACCTTTATACCTTTTTTTTTTTTTTCCTTAATTTTAAGAAGGTATATTGTGTGCTATGCAGCATATAGAAATATGTTTAAAATACGTTGTAAAATAGTGTTAAAAATGAAATTTAAAAAAAATAAGTCTTATACAATGTACTTTAATTTTATTTTGTTATGGTTATAAAATTATTGTACATATGCACATTTTTTTTTCCACATAAGTTTTCATTTATTCCATCTTAGTGTTTTTTTAATAACACAAAAGAATAATAATAGTGAAATGAATTTATTAATACATTCTTATATATAAAGTTAATATGCGCTTTGCATATTTATAATAACATACATATATATATATATATATATATATATATATATATATATATATATATACAAATAATTTACTATTTTTAAATATATTTTTTTTTTTTTTTGGTTTATACTTTTTTAAAGCATAAGAGTATAACTAATGTATTATCAAAAAAAAATTTTACATAATTTTTTAGTTATGTATATCTTTGTATTAACAAAATTTACACACAAAAAAGCAAAAGTAAAAAAAATAAGTAACGACTTTATTTATTAAAAAAAAACTTGTTTTATAATTTCATAACTTAATTCATTTTTATTTTTTTTTTTAAATAATTCTTTTTTTTGCTTATACAAAAATAAATACATGGTAAACATTCCTACAATTAAAAGTGAAAAAATGACATTTTAGCAAAATGTGGTTATCTAAAAAAATGCTAAAACATAACAAAATATATAATCCATAATATATCTTTCTATTTTTTTATACACCCCATTTCAGTTTAATTACTTTAAAACGTTACTATTTTAAACATTACTATTTTAAACGTTACTATTTCACTTATTTTTACATTAAACTACTTATCCGAATTTTAATTTATAATTGTTTATATAAGTCAAAAAAAAATTATTAACTGATTTTTACAGACAACGCTTTTTTTTTTTTTTTTTTTTTTTTTTTTTTTTATATGCATATATTTAGTATATATTAAAAACATTTGATGTATCACAATTTTATTTACACCATTATTTTCTTGTTTAATGTTTTTATTTTTAATTAAAAATTACAGTTTTAATACATAAAATAAGACCATAACAAATGAGTTATGAAAAAAAAAAACAACAGTTTTAATAAAAATTAACCATTGATTCTGTTATTAATTTTTAGGTTCAAAAATGCTTTCCTTTTTTTTTTTCTTTTTTCAATTAGCTTTGCATATATTTAGTTTTACTATATATAGAAATGCATAGAAATAAACAATTTAATAAATTGTATATTTTAAACCAATAAAAACATATTTAATAAAAAATAAAATGCAATTTGTTTTTTTCATACTAAGTTCTATTATATAATTTAGAATAACGTAAAATTAATAAAATATTTTTATTGCTACACTGTACAAACATACAAAGTTTTATTTCTTACTATACCTTCTAATTTATTTGTTTTAACTTTTAAACATAAATTTAAAAAGCCATAATAAATAACACATACTCTTATATTTATATTGCTAAATGTTACATATAATATAGATCTTTTATTTTAAAAAGTGTTTCTATATATTTTTTTATAACAAATGGGCATTTTCATATATATAATAATTTTTAAACGAATAAAAAAAAATTTAATATAATGCATATTTACATACTGGAAACATGTCCTTCCATATTGTTAAAATGTATATACATTATTAAATATACACATATATATTATATAAGGATGATAAATCTAATGTACCATATACAATTAAACGATATTAAAAGAATATATTAATTATTTTTACATTTACTATATTAGTAAAAAATTGAGATTAAGCTGTTTTTATAAATTTTATTTTTTAAGAAAAATTGTGTATACATTTTACTCCAAAACGTTACATTTTGCCAATATTAAAACCTATATTAAATTTATACACATGATATAGTAAATGTGTTCTTGTTATAACAAATTTAACCGAATTGAGTATATTTTCTTTTTGTTTTAAATGCATATAGAATTAACATTATATGTTTTTATTTATCACATCAAAACACATTTTTCTTTTTTTTTTCATTAATAAAAAAACATACATATTTACAATTTTGCAGTTTATCTTTAATAACCATTAATGTTATTCGCAATGTAAATTTTTTAGATTTCGGTAAAATTCGTAATTTTTTTTTTAACATTTTATTTAACTTTTATAAACTGTCTTTTCCTATTATTATAAAGATTAATTTTACAAAAAAATACACAAATTCGGTAGTTTTATTATATATGAATAATACTCATTCTAAATTCTATTTTTTTTCAAAAGTAAAATTTTATTTTTAAATGTAAATACCAAAACTACATAATTTTTAAAATTTTTGTGTCTTTTTTCTGTAAAAGCATACTTCCATAAATGCCTTTGAACAAATTTAGAAAATAAACTAAGATTTTACTAAAATTTATACTAATCAAAATTTTACCTAATTATATATATCATTTTATGAAGCATTACGTGAACACAATAATACACGAGGTATTTTTATAACAAAATTGTAAAAACATTTTCTCTTTATTTTTGCTGATAAAACATTCTATTATCATATATAAGCCGACAAAGTACAATGTTTTTATTCTATATAAAAAATGTTAACAGACCATCATCTTTTTTATGGAGCCAACCTATCCCACTATTTAATTTTATACTTGATACTTTTTACACAATCCATAACTAACCGTTTATTAAAAACATTAACTTTTAATACTCAAAAATACATGTATATAGATATAACCTTATAAGGGGTTTTGTTTTGGTTGTACTACAATAAAATTTTAAATGATAAAACGGATGTTTAATAATTTCATACATAAAAAAACTTACAGTTACAAATTCAATAAAAAATTTTACCATAATATATACTCAAATTGCACTGAAAAAAAAAAAAAAGAGCTTAATTGCATTTGTAGTAAATTAAAATGTATAAAATATTTATGCTAATCACTAAAAAATCATAAAAATTACCCATATATTATTGTATAATAGTATCTCTTTTAATATATGTACTTCATAGTTCTAACTTAATATCACTTGTCACCATAAAAAAATAAATTATTTAATGTATTGTATAATAAAACCACTACTTATTTAATTTAAACAAGTATAATGAAGTAAATAAATTAAAAACACGATTAATAATAAATAATAAAAGGATATAAAAATATTAAAAAATGGCAAGTGAATAACGAAATCATAATCAGGTAAGTACTAAAAAATAAGATAATTATAATATCAATATATATTATTCGATTTACTTATATAAAAAAATATGAATGTATCATTAAGATGTATATAAGTTTCATAAATATAATAAACAAAGGAATATTAAAAAATATATATTAAATATGCATAAACTATAATCACTAGAATAAATAAAAAATGCTTATATATATGTAAGTAAATAATTAAATTAAATAAACTAAATAACTAAATAACTAAATAACTAAATAATAAAATAACTAAATATTTAAATAAAATAAATAATAAATTAATTAAATAAACTAAATAATTAATTAAAAATAATAAATTAAATAATTAATTAATATAACAAATAAAATAAATAATTAAATTAAATAAACTAAATGATTAATAGAATTAAATGAATAAACTAATTAATTAAATAATTAAATTTAATAAATTAAATAATTAAATAAATATAATAAATTAAATAATTAATTAAATATAATAAATTAAATAATTAATTAAATAAATAAATATAATAATTAAATATAATATAATAAAATAAATATTTAATAAATAATTAAATTATAAATAAGTAATTAATTAAATATAATAAAAAAAATTAATTAATTAAATATAATAAAATAATTAAGTAATTAAATAAATAATTAAATAAACTAAATAAAATAATTAAATAAATTAAATTAAATAAATAATTAAATTAAATATAATAAATGAATAATTAATTAAATAATTAAATATAATAAATTAAATAATTAATTAAATTAAATTAATAAATAAATAATTAAATATAATAAAATAAAATAAATAATTAAATATAATGTAATAAAATAAATAGTTAATTAAATAATAAAATTAAATAAATTAAAATATACATAATTAATATTGATCAATTAATTTATTTTGAATTTTATTATATTGATTAAAGATTTAAACTGTTTTTCTAATAAATTATTAATTTCCTATTTGTTAAATAGTATTATTTTTTTTATTAATATTTCATTTAGACTTTTTTTATAACACTTATAAAATATGTATAATTCTTATTTACTTATTCATTATATATTTTTTAAAATTAATAAAAAATAATTTTGTATAATTAAGTAGAATGTATATATTTTGTATATATTTATATGCATACATATTATAAGAATTGCATTGCAATATATAAAGAAGTAACTTATTAATATGAATAGTTACTTTTACATATATTATATATATTTATGTTAGAAGTAACACATAACAACTTTAGGAGTTTTTTTTTTTTGTTTTGCATTTTCCTAATATTT